TATATGTTGCATGCACTGAAAATATTAGATATATGCTGTATTTTTGATGTTCTAATTTTCGGATTATTTTACTCTATGGTAGATGCATATCATTTTTCAATCGTTATATTTGGTACACCTTCCTCAACAAGGTTCTTAGCATTCTCGTTTTCTTATCCAGGTGCGACGGGCACTGAACAAGAAGCAAACGAAGCACGAGATCCAACGGGAAAACATCAACGGGGCGATGTACAGACACATTATTGGCATAAGTAGACGACCAGTGGGCACTCAATCAGGCCGCTCGGAAGAGATTTTTAACGATGGAGAGCCGGTGGGTTTTATAACTCCGACTGGTTCTGTCTTAGGGTCCTCACAACTCCACTAGGAGGGAAGTGAGCTGTAGCGGTAAATAATTCCCAAAATTATTGACCATAGGAATCATCAGTGAACATTGGATGCTGATCCTCACTGTTTAAGTCAACTTACTTACCTGAAGGCTTCCGGTCAAGCATCCTCCCCATTTGGTACTCCGTCGTGTCATGTCCATGCACGATCACTAGCCAGCTAAGCAATTACCTCTCACTCCGATTCAGTCCCGAAATATATCTCGTAATTTGGACGATCAATTATTATTTTGCTTTGCCTTTGGTCTACACGGAACGGACACTATAGATATAGGTATTAATTCTTGTGTTATTATACTCCGTACAATTCATGAACGTTAATAACGTCAGCCTCTAAGACAACAAAGTGACTCACAGTCTCTGTGTCTAGCACAGTCTGTCTAACATCAAAGCGCGATCTGTGTCTTACCCCAATGGAAAACATAAGTACGCACGCGAATTATTCTGAAATCAGTGTGCAGACCTACAGGAGTTGCCACAAAAATAAATGTTCAGCTGTATCATCGTGACAGAACTCCTATATGGCAGACAGAATAGGACCATGCGTCGCGACAGACTTTCTTCAGCATATTTTTCAATCAACGTTAAAGGTGATATGGCCGGAGAAGGACGAATAACGGCGGATTATAGGAGGTGGCAAACCACTTGAGGACTAATTAACCAAACGAATATGCATAAAGAAGTTGAACACAAGCTTAGGAAACCGAGTAACATTACGCGTGCGGACCCCGTGCTGTCCGCGAATGAGATACTACTTGTCGGCCGTGACAGGGAGGAAGCGAAAATGAATGGACATTTATGAAGCACGTCGGGTGTGAAAATATGACATTGACTAGTGGTCGTGCTACTTCGTGAATTGGCAGAAGTTGGAATTTATGGGCCACTGGGATGGGTTCCAGTGACTAAATTCAACTATCAGAAACAGTTGGATATAGTACTTCAACGGTTGTACGAGACCAAGGGTAAATTGGGAGAATACGTGCGATGCTGCGGAAGTAGACCTCGAACCATATATAGTCAGCAAACAGAGGTCTTACTACGTCTCCGAGCCTCAGTGGCACTACACCGATGCGGGACTGAGAGTGTCACCCAAGTGTCCTACCCAATTTCAAGGAAAAAATACGACAACGGACCGATTCCATCAGAATCGGCTAACTACTCCCAATATGAAGTTCCCTGCCAGCAGGCAACGTAACGTCAACTACTCCACAACACACTAAGGTTGTGAAACTCACTGTCAGCCGCCTTTATAACAATGCCAGAGGGCTGAAAGGGAGAGTAGATGAACTCAGAAATCTCCACTCACACCCACACCTCGAAATAATCATCTTCACTGAAACCTGGCTAACCCTCACTATCGCCGGCAGTGAAATCAGCATAAGTGTTATGATTCTGGTCAGGACAGACACGGATAAATAGGAAGGGGAAGTTGCCATATACTTTGGTAAGCAACTTAAATGTGTGCGTGCAATGGACGCACCACTTAATGAACCCCCAGACTCCATATGGTGTCATTTCACCGTGGCCACACCAGGCATTTGCTGGGTGGCATCTACCGATCACCTACCTGTGGGGCGGAGCACAACCAGATACAGCTCAGCACCATCACAGGGATACGAGACCTGGGCTGTGACTGAATCGTCACAGCTGGAGATTCCAATGCCCAATTCCTGAACCTTGGCTCGGGGTAAGCCCAGGAAAAATTCAGTCGAAATCTACTGCAAACCATTAGAAATACAGGACTGACTGAGAGTGTTGGAGACGACACTAGGTTATGGAAACTAAATTGTGTTCTAGCTAGTGACCAACCACTCGTCGGATAGGTCCGTATCATGATCCCACTAGGAAGTGGTGATCATGCAGTCATAGGGTTCCATCTTGTTCTCCGTGAGCACTTGCAGTAGGACACTACCATGTCCCATCATGTCCGTGGTATAACAAGGTGGACTTTGCTGATATGTGGAGGCTTTTCTCCGACGCAGAGTGGCCCATAGAATGACATGGGTTATCTGTGGATGAACACTTGAGGGTGATAAAAGAGATTATTCACACAACAACCTCGCATACCGTCTCTTTAGTCACAGTACAACCGAAAAATGTTCGTCATGGCTGAAGAGAGGTACTCGACGTATTCTGCGAGCAGAGAGAAAGGCTTGGTCTACGTGGCGGGTATCCAAGAGTCAGACCGACCACAATGCATACCTGGAACTTATTAAATGGTACAACGTAAGAGTCAGGAGTGACAGGAGGTGATTTCAGACTAACATTGCGGAGAAACTCCTACCCAACCCCAAAAGCTTGTACCAAGTCATGTTGGAGATAAAACCAACCAACCAGGGGGCAGGTCCAAATAGTCAATACCTCACTAGTATGGGGTGGCCAAAATATTCAGTTTAGCTCTCGATAAACAGTAAAACAGCACTGTGGGTATTACTGGTGCGGACCAAAATGGCGGCGCTACTACTTCGCTGGAGGAAAATCTAGTGGCTAATCCACAAATAAACCCAGCAATATTACTAAGAAGCCACAGAGACTCACATCTGAAAAGTCCCCAGGTTGTGACGACATAAGGCTATCTGTTCTGAAACAGTGCTTCGAAACTCTCTATAGTTTATTAGGTGATTGTTCCAACACTCGACTGATTCGGGAAACTGCCAGGGGTGTGGAAAAGAGCCATTCTCGCCTATTTTCAAAGGTAGGGAAAGGTGAAATGCCAGTAGTTATGAGCCAGTAGCCCTACTCCCAGCGGCATGAAAAGTACTGGAGAGTATTATTGATGATCACATTAGGGAGCACCTCAATAGGACTAATAGACACCATGTAGACCAACATAGTTTCAGGAAGGGCAGATCCTTTGTAACAAACCTATTATCAGCTTGGGACGATTGGGTATCATGGTGGGATATGAATATTCCAATCCATTTGGTCTTTCTATGGCCAATGGCATGACTTTCAATCTGGAAAAGTGAAAACTAGAGAAACTGCCCACCTGTAGGCTACAGAATGCCAGTCACACCCTGTGCAACGAAAGGTTGTCCTGCATAATGTCGGAGTGTGAGTTAGGTCTAGTCTTAACGGAAAAAATGGACACAAGCTTGAATCGTACAGAGGATGTAGCGAGGGAATATGCTGTCATACACTTTAAACATAGACGTTTAGGTGCAATCAGTCCTAAGCTCTTTCTGAGGTTGCTCGAAAAATACGTCGGATCACACCCTGAAGTGCACAATATCGTCGCACTCCCACCGCCTAGAAGAGACGCAAACCCTTGGAAAGACTAAAAACACGGGCGACAAAAGGAGTGGTGGGTTTGCGAAATAAACCATATGATGAATGGCTAAGGAAATTAGGCTTATTCAGACTTAACTTCCGTCGGCTTAGAGAGTACCAGATTACCGCCCGTAAGATAACAAATTACAGGAATCACCCAAAGAAAGGTATTCTGCAGTTAAGTAGGTATGGGCTTCCTCGTGGAAATCCCAGGAGGACAGCTCACCAGAGGGCAAAGAGTCGGGTCCACTCCCACTTCTTTTCACTGTGTGTTGGCCTTCCCTGGAACTCCTTACTGGAAGATGTAGCTACGGCACTGTCTGTGGACAAATTTAAAAGAAGGCTTGACAACCAGGTAGCAATACAAGGACTGCGTCCAAATGGCGTATCCTCTTAAAATCCCATAAACAATTCATGGGTAGACATCTAAATTCGTCGTTTTACTTCTTTACATTCTCTCCCCTCTAACTCACCTGACTATTCCAACTACTACACTTAGAATTATTATTATTGATGTATATGTATCTTCTGGAAACTAAATCAACTCATAATCTGTAAATAGTCTGTGAATTTATTCATGATAGTAGTCGTTGTTAATATGACTAAAATCGAAAGTAAATAATAGTAATATTAAGGATAATAAAACTTTTGGGGGAACATAAAACAGTCACATTCATCTACTACATGAAATAATAAGTGGTATATATAGTGAGAATAAATAACATGTTAAAAATGAGGAATGTACGTAATTTCACATGAGGTTTTTTTATCACAATGTCTCTGACGACAACACTAAAAGAATAATGATATTTCTGAATAAGTTTCTTAAAATTAAGGAAGTAGATAAGTACAATAGACAAATGACAAGATAGCATAGTTTTCATAGTTGAGGTTAAATGTCACATAGGGTAAATGAGAAATATGATATCACTGTTAATGAATTTATCGATCTAATATGAGGCGAGGAAAATAAATTAAGGTATAGGATATTGAAAGTATCTTGATGTTATTTGAACAACGCAGAAATATAAATATTTTGAAGGGATTTTACTATGAAGAATGTTTTCATGTGTATCACAAGAAGATAAAGAAGATGAGAAAGTGAAGTTGAGAGTTTTTGAATTGAAAATTTGGCGTAATTCGTCTCAAATGAGATCAAAACCAATATTTCATGTTGAAAAGAAATGAACAGTTGATAAAAATACTTTAATTATCGGAAAATTTTCCTAAGTTAACTTTTATATGTATAAGATTTAGGATTCGTTTTTCAATAATTGTAATATAAATGCATTATAAAGTGAAATGAAATGCAGAACATGACAGAAATAAAAATAATCAAATTACTTTCTAATTGAATATGATTAGATATCCCTGTTAGTCGCATAGTTGATGGCATATTTAGTATGCGTCCATTAACACCTGTCAGTGATGATGTCCTAAATATGATTCTTTGTGTTTCAGAAAATCCCATTGAATTCTGTCCAGATAGTTCAAGCTCATATGCACTATCCGGTTTCAAATCATCAATTGGGAAATTGCACATTTTTTGACCTTCTGCTGCTGATACTACACAATATGGCTCGATGTTATTGTAGTGAGTCCAAGAACCAATAGGACGTCCAGATATCTCACCTAAATAAACATTTCAAATAAACTTTGCAATTTCAATCAAAATAAAATGACACAGGGCGTTTTGTAATAGGGTAAATCAATTAATGAAAACCCAGAGTTTATTAGGCAGTTTTTTTTCCCAAACAGGGTTTTCGTCATCAAACGCAATTTCCGTTGAGAAGTTCAACGTACTTTCTATATTTCAAACACGCTGGATTCAGGAAAAGCAGATCATGCGCGGATCAAATTGCAACTCTACGTATCGTCATCGAACCAGGTTGAGATTAGAATGGCAGCAAATCTTCAACATAACTTCATCGACTTTGATAAAGGCCTTCAACAGCATTGGCGGCGAAGTAATTTGGAAATCACTTCAACACTTTGGATTGACCCAAACATTTATCAACCTCAAAATCTATACGGTGATCCTAGATGTCAAGTTATTCACAACAGAAATCTCAGAGAAGTCTTTGGCATGTAGTCAGGAGTGTAATAAGGCTGTTTATTACCACCGGTGATATTCCTAACTGCTCTGAACTGGTGTGTGTCGCAGGCTGTGGGGGAGGCAAGAAGATAAGAATACTTTGGGTAGGTAGGAGGACTCTAAAAGACCTGGAATTCGTAGATGATTTGTGCCTAGTGTCACATGAACTCGTAGATCAGCAGGTGAAAACCAACAATTTGGTAGAAGCAACAGCGAAGACAAGACTTCAAGTGAACACAGATAAGACAGAGGTGATGAAGATATCCAACCACCCCCAACGAAAACGAGCACCACAATAACTAAAACGGGAGAAATTTGAATGTCGTTTCTCCCACTTATTTATCAACCGCCATTTCAGCTACAAGTAGGACGGATAAAGATATCCGAGTCAGGATCGGGAAGATAAGGCAGACCCTCATTGATATGAAATCAGTTTGGAAATCTAATGTACTCAGAACAAAGAACAAGATTCGTATTTGAAACACTAATGTTAGGTCACCCAGAGCATTTAGAACAGGCTGCAGACTTTTATCGATAGCTGCCGTATTCGATCCATCCTGAAGATCAGATGGCTGGCCAGAAAGCATGAGCAGCGAGAAACTCTGGGAATGAACTAATCAAGAACATGCTGTCCAACAAATATTCCAAAGAAAAAAGAGGTAGATAGGATGCATGCTGAGGAAATTATTGAGTGATGTTGCACGCCAGGCACTGGAGTGGAATCCGAATGGGAAACGACTCATTGAGCGTTCGAGAGTGACATGGAGGAGGTGAAAGTTTATGGGCAGTCGTGGGGTGAAGATATTCTGTTGCAGCCCTGTGTTCCACTCGGAACCCAAGGGAATAATCATAAATAATAACAGAAACTAGTTTAGATAGTAGCTTAGTCACACAGAAGTGATCTTAGTGTAGGGAGAAAACAACCTGTGTCTTTGAAATTAGAGTCGTTATTAGTACTTTTCCTAAATATAATGGATGACTTCGTGTTTGTAATAGTTCTTAAGCATCCAGTTCTCATTATTATTTCTTAGTGCCAATGACATTCTAAGTAAAATTAACCAAATCATATTTTTCCACCTGATTTTCTAATTGGTCCACAGTGAAACTACCATCGACATCTTTCCTACATAAAACGTACTAAGAATTTGGAAGCTTAACTTTAAGACATTCTGATAGCATGTAAACGAATGCTAAATTAAGACCTCTATTCAATTCACACGATTCCATACATAGTTACTTTGTTTATAAAACACTACACTAACTTCATATTTTGATGGTGGATACGATGTGCATCATAAGTGTAACGCACTAACTGAAAGATAAACAGTCTTAAAGTTTTACAGTGAAAAGAAGTTCTTGAAATCTATAGTTTTCATTACTGACAATTAGTCTGGAGGTTATTACTTTCTAAGCTAGTTAAAATAATTGTTGACTTGATTACACTGCAGAAGAAAAAATTAATTCACACTGATTACACGTACTGACTTCATATCATAACACCTCATTAGGGTGAAGTAATTCTTTCTTCTATTTACGGGAAAACAGATTAAAAAATGTTATTTAAATAATTTTGAAATTCCTAATGCAGAAAACAGAAATAAGGTGATGGCAGGAAGGCGAGTTATTTTTCTTTTTTTTTGTTATTTGGATTTGTAAGTGCAAAGATGAATTTCTTTGAATTAAACATAATTGTAATAAGGATTCATCAATGAATCCTTATAAATCTGTCAAAACACTTAAAGTAATATAAACTGTGTAACTTTTTCAGTCATTAGCAGTCATTTCTAATCCAATTACCAAAACAAATGTACTAAGTATTTGCGAGATTGCACAGTTTTTCACAAAATACTTTCAGAGATGTTTTCGGGACAGTCAAATAAAACGATTAAAGTTAAACAGGCCTTGAAGACGGGGATCTATTCAAAAGTTGTATTCACTTTATACTTTAAGTGGTCGAAGAAAGTTTGAGTATTGATTACTTACATCACTTCCAATAAAATAAAATGCAGCTTAAATATCTGAAATGAAAAGTTATTTAACTCTATAAATAAAACTAGCAGAAATTTAAAGTAGAGATTAGACTGGTATAGAAACATTCCCTTTCAAAACATAGGTACTTCCTAAAATTTCAGCGGAAATATTACCTATCTGTTCCCAAATAAGAACACTTCATAGGGTAGTCGGGAATCTTTCCTTTGAATTTTAGATTTTTAGTAACATAATGTTTCCATAGATTCCAAAATGTAAATGATATCCATATATATTATTTCCTAGTTACAGAATTAGCATACACCAGACAACTTTTTAATTCGAAGACACACTTTTCTATCTAAAAATAGTTTAAGCATCTTAGTTTGGTGTCTTATCATGATATCGTATGATTAAATGGACTTTTCAATGTTTTATGTGGCTTATTGTATGGAAGGAATGACTGCTGCTGTGCAGTCAGTTATATAGGTCGTACAATTAGGCGTACTCATCGTCGGATTTCCGAACACCATCCTGAAAAGTGGTTAAGTAATGGACAAAAAAAGTCTATTCATAGCACTATTCTGTCTCATCTTGTGCATACAGAACACAAGGTTGGTGTTGAAGATGCTTTAATAGTCATCTACAGCATACCGACTAATCTTAACGTTACCTTAAGAGTTCGTCTACTATATATTGCTGAGGCTGTTGGGATCTACATTAAGAAATCTAACGTATGCATCTAAAAGAAGCTGGTTCAGACACTGTCCTTACCTTGGCTATCAAGGTTCTAATGATCCTCAATTTGTTGTGGAAATTTCCTTAATTTTATCTGATATTCTATTTTTTTTCCTTCACGTTCCCCAGTGGAACATAGGGCTTCAAGCTAGTGGCTTGAAGTTTCTGTAGCAGTGTTTGTTTTACAGGATAGGGTTGCTAGCCTCATTCCCAACCTTTCCTCTTTACCAGCATTATTTTTGGCTTAGCGAGGTAAAGGAGTGAGTCGGCCGGGAGTCGAACCCTGGACCATGTGCATGGTCGACAAGCGTCCTAACCGCTATGCCACCGACGCACTATTATTACTTTTTATGCTTATTATAACTTATGCATTTTCCTTGAATTGTGGTAATTCCATTGTGGTCTCAACAAATCGATGTTATTTAGAAACACCAATACTATTAATGACGACTAAAGAGGAAATTATCTAAAAGGATATTCTTTGCTCATTTATTATTTCAATTTAGAATTTGGAGGAAGAATTACGATGATCTATAATATTTGCTATCTCGGCCACATTGCCCCATTAATAATCCAATAGAATATTAAAAAAAAATCAGATAAGAAGAGATAAATGAAAGGACCTAAGAGACCATCAGAGATGTGACTATAACAAATTTGTTTCACTTTCTAGTACTTAAAAGAAGGAGAATTTTTTGAAAAAAAACGTGTTGCAAACTTACCCATAGAATAATCAACTTCAACTGGTCTTATATTTATATTATATTGATTTATGTCCATGCCGTTTGTAGTCTCTGCATTCCAGTGAACATTGTATCCTGTTGGACTTATATAATTCTGAGAAGCGAGTAATTTTATAACCGGTTTAGATAACTGGTTAGTTGTAACCTGTTTAAGAAAATATCAATTAGTGGTTACAAAAATATGCAATGAATACGTACCAAAAAGTTCGATACACCTTAAAGATATTAACACTAGTGGTTTTGATATCAGAAGCTAAGATTAAGGCAGGCAGGTTCTCAAAATTCTAGTACTTAATATTACAACAAAAAGTGTGCACCGCAGCGCTTGGTACTGTGATACTAAATATTTTATAGACTGTACCACATGCTTGGCTGATGGATTTTAGTTGATTCTTGGAGCTTAATAGTTACCCGAATTATAATCCTATAGTCAGATGTATGGACTTGAAATTATGCTGCTCTTTGAGTCAAAATAACAAAGTCTTGTCTGAATGAGTTAGCGGTAGACTTTCCATGAATGGAACATGCGCTCAAATTCAGCTTCTAAGTCATCATTTAACACCCAACTAATACACTTGGGTTGTAATTCATTAGGTAATATATTAAATGGATGTAGATTAGTATAGCGTAATTGACATCGTAGTGTTATTTGCACAATTATAAACATTTATCAAACCAGTATTAATGCCAACAGCTAGATATCTGCCTGAACTTCCAGGGAAACCGATACACGTGGCTGTACAATTTTCAGATTGTAAACTCAACGTCAGTATATCAGAAGTTGTCTTTCCATAGTCATGGTTTTTGCCAAACAATAATTGTTGAAGGTAAACAGATCCACCAGATTTATCAATAACAGCTAGCTTAAATGATCGAGGATTCCACTGGATTGATTGAATCGGACTGGTTGATATTGGTTGAGGTTATACCTCCTTGTACTGCCACTTACCCCATCTTATTCGTTTTATCAGCACAATCAAGAATCTACATGTCTGAGCGACAGTTTAACACAGACATTGGTTGATTTTTTGTGATGAAAGCAGCTTGGAAGTGAGTTAGAAATTAAAGCGATCTGTGCCTTATTTACT